ATTGTGCGGCAAAAGCTTGGAGTCCCATGTAAAATTGTCTAGTGGTAGTTTGAACTAATAACGAATTTTCCGCGATTTGCAAGTTTTTTCTCTGCTTGTTTTAATAAAGCTTTGTTTATTGATCTGGGCCAGTGAACCCACAGCTGCACAGTAACAGGAACAGGCTAACCTTTTTCATAAGCTGTCTTCTGCGGTCCAGGAGCGATGCACGCCGTCGTGCCACATCATCGGCCGCATAATGCTGGCCCTGGATCAATTTCGTTGCAAATTCGTCCAAAGCGTTGATTTTCTCTTCCTGCGCTGCCAGTGACTTCTCGAAATCTTCATGCTTTTTAATCAGCGATTCCACGCTATCCAAGCTATCGCCAAGATCGTCGTTGGCCAGGAATGCCTCTTGCTTTGTCATCCACGTCTCCGCCTGAAGCATTAAGCAACTCAGTTATCACACGGGATTTCTTTATTTCTGCCTTAGCATCAGATTTTTACCTATTTTTTGAACGTTTTCTGCACCCTGCTTTTCTACATCAACATACCCCTCATCAATAACGCTCACAGCCATTAACAAATCACAAATCTTATACTAAATCTTCATCTTCGGGCAGCTCTAATATGAAGTTTTTCACAACACGGACAAGAACTTTCCCGGCAATTTTTGCAGTACGTAACTTGTAATCTCACAAAACTATTGGATCACAAGATATCCCTATTTCTTAATTTCTTCACCGTCTATAATTTCACTTTTTTTTGTACTAAAAAATCTGTTTTAAAAATGAGCTTTTACCGTGCAAGGATTCACGTACTCGAATGGCATACAATTTTTGACTTAACATCAAAATTTCACTTTTTTCATTAAATCATTACAGTATCTTAAAGAGCAAAAAAAATTCTGTTAATAAGAAAATTTAGCCAATAAACAGTGCAGACAGGAAATGGCCCGAATCGCTCGATGTAAGCCTGTAACCGTAGATCTCTATCATGAGCCATTCGAGAGACCTAGAATCTGTGCGGGGAGCATTTCAGTTATTTCAGCAAAATCAAGCTAACCCCGACAGGGCAAACAGGCGTTGTAAAATTCATGGTAAAAATAAACCAATCAACCACTCCCCGCTTGCCTTTTTTATGCGTTTTTTGCAGATATGCAATGCAAAAACGCATAATGATGAGGGATTGTCTGTGTGTCCGTGTATTTGTGTGTGCGTCTGTCACCCACTTTCATCTCAATGCCTATAAAAGCTGCAGGGCTGAAATTTCGAGAACTTTATCTACATGCAAGTGCCGGCGCATTTCCCAAAATGGGCGCCATCACTCGCGTGGTACCCGCCTACGGGCCCCTCAAAGTTTTTTTGGAGTAAGTTCATAACTCGGGGATCTAAGAAGCTAAAACGCTGAAATATTAGGGGGATGTTCCCTGTCCAAGTGGGTATCAAAGAGTTTAAACCCTGCGCGTGAGTAAGCGTGGCACCTACGTACAGGCCCGTGAAAGTTTCTTCCGGGTAAGTTGCTAACTCGAGGGCGTGAGAAGCTAGAAGACTGAAATTTTGAAGGGATTTTTCCTGACAGTTCTGGCGACCAGTCTGAAATTCTTTTAGCTAGAAGCATCTGCCGGAAAAATCAGTGCCGTTAGCGACAAAAATCT